CAGTCCCCTTATGGACTGTATGATATTATCTTGCTAGTAGTAAAAGTCCGAAAAGCTCTACTTTAAATGAGCAAAAACCCATAAAAATCTAGGTTGAGCACCTGATCCTGTTTACAGTTTTAGGATTAATGTATCTGTACAAAGTTATAGACCTGATCTCAAAGAAGTCTTCTTTAGCAACTGAAGAAAATACAGTATTTAAGAGCTGCTACAGCCTGTGCAGCTATATCAGTGTCATCCATGCTTGTTGCCACTTTTATGTTTTACTTTGCAGATCACATTAGCTAAGTCTGCTAAAAACTGAACCACAGACTTGCTTCACCAGTAAGTATGAGAGCTGATGGCTAGAGTCTGTAAACTGTAAGGTCCAGCCGATTGGAGCATTGGGGCTAGCAGTTGTTACAATGTAGCAGTGCCTTTTAATCGTGTTTTCATCTAACAAGAGGCAGTTCTTGCTACCTGGTAGTGTATAACTTGTGTTTACCTCATCAGATGAATTTCCCAGGTAGACATGTTCATTTCAGTCCTTAGACTCTACCTATCCTTACCCTCAGCACAGCTTTCCTCCACCTATGTAAGGAACAAAAAGCCACATAAGGCTGAAAAGAAGCTAATTTTCAATATCAAAGTGTAAATGGAAAAATCATGTATTTACTTTCTTTAGCCTTCCATCTGTAGCACTAAATGTCTGTCCTTTAACTATTTGCTCAAAACAGTATGATTTTGCTGTTATGAAGAATTCAGCGAAGAGAAGGAAGAAAAGCTGCAGCTTTGAACTCTGCAAAAACTGAGAAAGATGAGGCTAATCTGAGCTTTGGGTGCCAATGTTTGGTGTGAATAATTTGACCACAGACGTAGGTGTCAGTTGTTAGTGTTGGTTCAGTGTGAAGAAATGAAACTTTTATTAAGTGATCTGCTGTTTTCCTGTATATGCATCCTCTCTTGGGGTAAGTAAAAAAAACCTCGTGCATTTTCTTTTCTCTACTTGTTTCAGAATTTTATAAATCATTTATAACGACTGGTAGTTCTGTCAGGTACTATTTAGCTGTAGTAGTGTTAAGGCTCAATTTCACAACTTATTTTTCTGTATTTATTTGTAAAATATTGAACAATTTTACATCTGTATGTCCAGTGTGATAAAGCTATTTGAAAAGTCCCATCGATAGAAACTTACACAAATTCCTAAAACAGCATGTTCTGTAAAGTTTTAGAAAAAGGAGCAACACAGTAAGTACACAGTAAGAATGAATGTACTTACTGTCTAAAATTAAACTTCCTGTTAATAATTTCACATATTGCATATGATGTAAAAGTCTTTGGCCACCCCTCATTTTCAAATATTCATCGAAATACACAATTAGAGAAATTCAGCTGTCGAGGCAGCCCACGCTGTTACAGTAATTTTGATATTCATGCTCTAGGGAGGACAATCTGTGACCTCCAGTATATGTTTTTCTATCCAGGTACTATTTTACTGTGTTTGCAGTGTGTTTGGAATCATTGTAATGCTGAAAAATGAAACCGTTGTCAGTCAGACACATTTCAGATGGTACTGCATAATTGTTGGTACTTTTCTACATTTAGAATGATTATATATTGTAATGATTTGTCCTTTGCAAAGTTGTCTGTTATGTTTGTGTGAGGTGTTCAAGGAATTCAAAGGTCAGTATTAAGTGGCTCAACAAAATAAAAGCTAAACAAAACAAATAAAAAAAACCAACAACATTCACCTGAAAATGGCCAGATATGAGGACTGGACTGAAAGAAATTAAATGAAATTAAAAGGAAAGAAGAAAAACTTTGAACTGTTGCTAAGACTGAGGCATGGCTCGAGTGTTTTGCACAGTACTGTACGATGTTGTTTGGTTTTTGTTCTTTGTTTTCTGTGTCATTGTTTGTGCAGCTTTTCAGTCATCCAGGTCATGGTAGTACTGACGTATTTCAAATGCAATTTCATCAGCCTGAAACACACTGGCTGTTCTTGCTAAATCTAAATGCTAAAGGCTATCAGTTGAAATGTTATAGCTTTAAGTTGCTCAGCTTTTGTTCCATTACTGGGAGAGGGAACAGCGGTGATGGCTTATACTAAGTTTCCAGGAAGTTGGATTGTTAGCATGGTAACCCTGTAATTTAAGGTGATCAGATGAACTCTATCTACTAAATGCCAGCTTGACAGCATTTAGCTCAATTCAGTGCTGTACTAACTTTCAAATTCACACAGAGTACAGCTATGCTAGTAGCTCTTAACAGCATATCCTACAAAACACAGACCGTATATAAGATGGATTTCGATTATGATAATTTTAAGTGGGTTTTCATTAGATAAGTTGAAACTATAGGTGATAGGGAACTAGTATTTTCTTGGTACCCATGCTTAAAGGTACAGTGTGTAAAATCTCACCACTAGGTGTCAGTAGGTTGCACATTGAAGTGAAGTGAGTTCTGTTTTCTTATAAGTCTATGAGAATGCATCAAATTCTCGGAAAATGTTACTCCACAGTAGACCATGTATATTTATGAGTGCAATATTCATTTGAACCATAATAACCTCAAAATATTACTGACTCACTAGCGCTTTGAGGGCTCCAGAACAGTAGAAAAGCGCTATATAAGAATCAGTCCATTTACTATTCCCTAGTGATAACTGACTTGTGACTGACAAGTCACAGATGAGCTGGTTGTTACACTGTTACAAAATAACGTTGCAATTGTTACTGTACATTCTACAACTGATACAATTGATAACACTTTAAATAGCATTATAACTTTAGTAAAATACATGTATTTACATTGTTTTATGTTGTCACTGCAGTGTTACAATAAAGTCTTTTGTGACTATTATGTTTTTCGCTTTCTTATTCATGCCTATCCTGTTGCTCACTGATGAGGTTTTGGCACTGAAAACTACTCAGCATGTAAAGCATGTAGTGTGTTGTCACTTTAACAGAGCCAGTCGGGGGAATTCCCAGCACACTCTAAATAACAACTCAGGTTTTTCTCTGCTTGGACTGGCCCAGGCTGTGAAAGCTAATGTGACTGGCTGCTTTGTGGTCTGGCTCAGCTCCCAACATGCAATGGCACGTATGCAGCAACTGTGCCAATCAGCTCCACCCATCACCACAATCTGCTTCACCTTTCCTCCTGCAGGCAAAACAACAAACCAGTTAGGTTTAAGCATAGATGCTAAAAGACAGCTTGTGCTTATGTAAGCCGCACTGTTTGAAAACATGTGACACCCTCAGAATGAGACTGTGATGGGGTAATAGAAATCTCTAGTATTTATATTTTACGACTCTTGGTTATCTTAAACGTCTTTCAGTAACCATGGGTTACAATAGTGACCAACACTTCTGATGTGTGTGCTTGCAGCAGTGCTGACATTTCATCCTGTTCTCGTTCTGTGTCTCAGTGTTGCATCTGACATTTTAAACTCTGGGGACTTCTAGTGGCTGACACACAGCAGTGTTTAACATATTTGCTTTACACATGAAAGGATCCTGGTTTGAATCTGAGAGCAGGCACAAAACCAACCTTGAGGGGTCACATGCTAGTACAAGTCCCAAGCCTGGATGCAAGGAATGTGTCAGGGAGAGCATCAGGTGTAAAATCAAAACATGTGTATGTGTCGACTGCTTCAACCCCTTGGGAAACATAGTAGCAGCAAAAAGTAGCTTAAGACTCTGAGGACTTCACAGAATGACAATTCACGTCATTTATGAACTCTCATTTCACGTTATCAGGTGACCTACATCAACTTCCTCCCAGATGTTTTCAACAAAATAATAATAAAAGAACAAAAGCTATACCACTACAATAATCTGGCAACGTAAAACCTCCAAAACAGTGCAGTTAAAAAAAATAAGTAAAATATTAAAATAAATTAATGTTAACATGTAAACTTTGTATGTATGCATGTGTGTAAACTTGCAAAGATTGACTTTCAAACTATTTTAATGACAATTCTTGAACAAAAATACAGTTTATTACATTATCTGTCCTTAATATGTATTTTATTGTGACCCCATTTCAGCATCTCTGCATGAGGATATAAAACGTGTCCTTTTCAGTCGGAAGAGAAAGGTCTGAGTCTTAGTCACAGCTTCTATAGTTTGTCTGTAGCTGTCGTCTGTCTGAAGGAGGAAGCAGCAGCATCTGTGGGTTTTCACACTTCTCTAGAAAACAGAAGATCTTTGAAGAAAACATGGTGCACAGTGTGTGTGTGTGTGT